GAATTGAATATTTCTATACTAAATACTAAAATTTGTATACTTGAATGTATTACGAGTTGGGTTGGTGCTCTTTCATATGCCTGTTTTTTTAATTTAGCACGCTTTTTTAATTCGAACGCCCTATCTTAGACGCCGATTCAAAAACACCCTATCTCAGCTTATTTTCAATGTATTCAACCAAATTCTGAGGTAGGGTGTTTTTCAATAATATTCTGAATTAGGGCGTTTTTCAATCAAATTCTGAAGTAGGGCGTTCTTGAAAAGTTTTCTGAGATAGGGCGTTTTCGAACTGGCTGCCGAAATAGGTCGATCTTCCACACCGCCATCGATATACTAATCATCAACTATTGCTTGTGCAAAGTTCACAGAGTTTTACAATTATATTAAGGAAAAGACAGAAGTTTTCAAGGCGAATTAATATAAGATGATAGCACGAGTACAAAAACAAAAATTTACATGTATTTTGTTTTTGATTTGGCGGCATAAACTGTCAAAATCTGTAAGAGTGTGTATAGAAATTCAAACAAAATTTTTCAATTTGATATCAGAAGCCGTGCGGCGAAACACATACACAAAATCAGCTGAGCTAGTAACACCACCTTATATAAATTCGCCTTGGAAGTTTTGAAACAAGTTCACAGCAACGAAAAATATGACTGATATTTTAATGTTATCTTGTACTTATATTTTTTTCTTTCACTTTCTTTTACTTATAAGTACAGTGCCGTACAAAATTATTGGCTCGGAGGCTCTTTAATCAGATCACAATTTCTAAACAGATCTTTTAGAAAAATTTTTAAAATGTAGCTTTTGAGCCAATTAATAAAGAGCAAGTCAGAAGTTGCCAGCAAATTTCGTTGATTTTTAGCATTTATTTTTATTTTTTGCTAACAGTGTCTTCCATATAAAAAGAATTATCAAACATAGTTTGTATGGAAGAAACTCTCAGTAAAAACAACACCAAAAATCAACCAAAATTGAATGGGCTGCAAAACTTCATTTTAAACATTTTTATAAAAAGTCTGATTAGAATGTTGCAAATTTGTATGCAAATTTATTGAATTTTCCCGAGTTTAGCACAAAGTTTAACAATTTTATTTTTATGTTTTTTCATATATTTAGTACAAACTATATTTTTATAAAGAATAAAAAAGGTTCATGCATTGTAAAAAATTCTCTGTGCTTTAGTTGTGATAATTGATAATTGAGTTAGCGATTCACAGCTGACAACAATTGCATACACAAAAATAGCCGTGTGTAAATGAAACGAGCAACACCAAAAGGGAATGTGAAAAATCGCGTCGACAAAGGTTTCCGTGTATAAACACAGTCTAACCGCATTCAAAAAAAAAACGGGAGGTTATTAATTCGTCGGAACTGCGAGAGTCGTGTCGAATGCAAGTCGTTTTTCGAGAGTCGAAAGTTTCCCGTCATTGTCTAAAATTTTCACTCGACTAGTGTATTAAAACGGAAAAACTTGGCAGCACTGTATAGTTTTCAATGATTTTGGTCTTTTAATTATTTCAGTACGACAATAGACAATGCTACTGTTGCCGAGTCGGACAATTTAGCCAAATGTACGACTTACGCGATGAGGCAGATTTTTTCTTTTTATACCCGAGCGCACTTGTGCACAAGGGTATTATAACTTTATTCACAAAATGGTTGTTTGTAACAGGCAAAAGGAATCGAGATAGAAATAGACAAATGTATACATAAATGCTCAGAATGAAAAGGGAAATCGATTAAGCCAATTCTTGCTTCACAGACACCTTTTTTATTTCTCTGACTAGAACTTTTCAAAAAGCAGTGTGTTCTTAGTTTATGTAAATGCAACAACACCTTTCAGGTAGGTTTTCGAACCTACCGAGTCACAGTATAATGCTTAGGTCCCTCAAGTACGAAAACAACGCATTTTTTTAATAAAAACATGGAAGGTTCTGGAACTATAAGAAACCTATGAGATATTTGTAAAGAAGGAAAATTTTTACAATATGAAAAAAAAAACACTCTGAAAATCCGTACATCTTGACGGAAAGCTAAAAATCCGTACGTTGAATTCGTACAACCATTTTCACCCCTGCAAATCCATACTGTACGGAAAAATCTGTACATCTGACATGGCTGGATGGAACATTGCAAAACTTTAATACGTTTCTACAAGGAGAGAATAAAAATGTTTTTCATTTGTCGCAAATTATTTTAAGTTTTGAAGCTAAACTACGCCTTCTTATACATGATCTCAAAAAAGGAATATTTCATCATTTTCCATGACTAGAAAAAAATATTGCACATGTCAAAGAGGATAAATTGCACCACTATGTCGTTAAACTACATGATTTAAAAGCAGATTTTGAAAAAAGATTTGCCGATTTGAAATTATTTAAATGTACATTTGCATACTTCATAAACCCTTTTCTATGTAACATAATTGAGGATGAATTTACAATATCCGAAATACTCCTTTTTAAGAAAAGCGAAAAAGAGTTGGCGTTTTTGGAATGAAAAGAGGATAAGACACTGGTGATGCTACATAAAGCTTTGCAACTGCTTGAATTCCGGCAACATGTACCAGATTAAAAATATCGCTGTTGAAAACAGCTGCGTGCCGTATAATTTCAATTTTTGGTACAACGTATAACTGTCAGTCTTTGTACTCTACAATGAAATTTGTAGTCAAAATACCGTTCACAATTAAGTAACCACCATTTAACAGAACTGTTACGAACGGCTTTAACTGAGGTAAATCGAGATTTTGAAAATTCGGCCAAGGATCTTTTGAATTTTCTGTAATATCTATCTTACGTGCATTAGAATAATAATAAAATTAATGTTTTTCATTTCTAATAATAATTTTATTTACAAATAAATTTTTTGTTTTTGTTGGTTTTATTGTGGCTCTTAGAATTTAGAATTTACATGTGGCTCTTTTCGGCCTCGGCATTACCCACCCCTGATATATGCAATGACCTTTTAGCAGATGATATTTAGGGAAATTCTTGGAAAATGGGCGTGGCACCGCCCTAGCGCCTACATATGTGTTTCTCGATACCCAGTTCATCAATTTCTACCAAACTCACATTTATCAACCTTGGCGAAAAAACACAATATGTTGAAAATTTTGAAATCGGACTAAAATTACCGCCACTTGCCACTTACGAAAACTCCGATATTTCAATAACTAAAGACTCCAATTTACAATGTCTTAACAAGACGTATGATTATTGATTTTTGTAAAATCGGCGTGGCACTACCCACTTAGGAATACATAAGTTATCGATAACCGCCTTATCGGTTTCCACCAAACCTGGTCCTATTTCAATATATCACGGCTTGACATTGTAGTTTACTGAAAGGTGAAAAATCGATTTTTAATAAGTGTACCGGGTATATAAAGTTTGGTTTGACTCGCACTTATATGTACTTCTTTACTTGTTTTATGTATGCTACCGCATAACTTTGGACCACGTGAACCGATTTCAATAATAATTTTTTTTTTATAGAAAAGGTGGTACTTCAAGGGTCGTCCCGTAGTTTGGTTTAGAACCGATCATTGGATTATAACGAAATTAGCGGTACCCCTAAATTTGTATATGAGAATTGAAGTCGGTTGTGTTTTTAGCTTAACTTGTTTAATAAAAAGTTCTATAAACACAAGATTTTCAAAAATAACCAAAAAATTTTAAAAATAATTTAAATAAAAATAAATAAATTAAGTCCATGAAATTTTTACACTAATATGTTCATTTTCCTCGATTTCTGGTTTTCGATAGAGATGGTGATTTTTCACGATTATCTCATTTTTTTTTTAAATATTTTGAAAACCGAGAAAATTAACCGAACTTGTATTTTTATTATGTAGCTCATTTTGGTGGAACGAATTCGAAGTTGGAAAATTAAATCTTCGAATCCTTGTTTCTCTTTTAGCTTGTAAAGTGAAAAAAAAAACAGTAAGTGAGTATGCATTGCATATTTTCAGTACATTCGGCCCTATGCTGAATATCGTCATTGTCATCGTCGACGATCGTCAGCGTATCAGTAACATGGCGTACGAGGGCCGTATCGTCACTTTTATTGGCGATGACGATATTCAGCATAAGGTCGAATGTTTCCATTCGCAGTTCAAATTTCAAGTTCAGCTTTACAAAAAAAAAATGCTCGTATACATATTTATTTCTTCAAGAAAATTTACAGCAAAAAAAAGTGCTATTTAAAGCAAAAGAAATAATAACAAATATTTCTTGTGATTTTCCTTGAGAGCTGGATTCTAATGGCGTTTTCTTTTCTCGAAAATGATTTCACCTTCTTATATGGCAACATTATCAGAGTGCAACATTTTAAAGAAAGAGAACGCAATATGCATATCAAGATGCTGAGAAAAGAACACGAAAACTTTACAGCCCTGGCGCAGGGCAGAATAAATGTAACATTATTTCGAGAAAAGAAAAGGCTATAAGCTTTTACACTTTGTATATTTGAGGTTATTAGCTTTAAGGGGTGTTTGAACCTCAAAACTCACCCCTTGTGTGCGCTAATGTGTCACTGCATCTTTAACTAAAAATTGTCAAAATAGCGATTATCTATTATCCAGGCGACGATATGTGATTACAGTAGTGTTATCTCTTAAACATTTACATACCCCCGCAGTTTGTAAATTGAAAACTATTCTTAAATTTTTTGAAGTGATCTGCCTTGCATTACTTTTGCGGAAAATATTTAAATAATAAATTTGGTTGCTGCGGTTACCAAAAATATAATCAAAAATGTTAAAAACAAAAAAAAAACACATAAATAAGTTTTATTCTTTTTTTGTAGCTTTTTAATCATTTTTCTTTGCATACAAGTTTATCGTAAAATTATCGTAGTTTTCAGAATAATATAATATTATATGTATATATGTTTGACAGACTTTTAAGTTGAGAATTTCGTTTTTAATATCAATAAATTAAAAAAATAATACAAAGGGTAACATCAGCCAAGGTTAAATTATGAATTTCAAAGAAAGTAATAATAATAACACACTGGGTAGGAGCAGGAGTAGTCCATACTTTGATTTACAAATAAAAATTAAATAAATTTAAAATCTTTAAGTATACTGTGTCGTTTTCTTGCGTTATACATTTTCTCACTAGTTGTAAGCAGGAACAGAATAATGAAGTACAAAAATATATCAAAAAAATGCACAATTCGATCGTTAATATGATTTATATATATTCAGTGATTTAATATCTTTTTGCATGCCATCTATTATTTAATAGGTCTTCATGTTTATATGTGTATATAAAAGATATTTTTACTTCATATAATTTTTTCGTGCAACGCGTTTCGCACTTGATTTTTTATTTTCGTTTATTTATATTTTTTAATGCCTTTTTATTTTCGTTTTTTCACAAGTTAAGACTTTGTGTAGTATAAGTTCGATAGTGTAAACTATACCGTTATTTGGCCAAAATTACTGGCTTCCACGTAAGTAGTAGGATTTTTTTTGTTTAGTTTACTTTTTCATAGTTTATAATTTTTATTTCGTTTTTCGTGTTTTTCCATACATTCACCAGCACAAAATCAACCAACAAATTGACAAGAAAGAATTAAAAATTGATTACAATACTAAGGAAAACATAATAAACGATTAGCACTAAAACCTCAATCCAAAATAGATTTTGAGTATACATACATAAGTATAAAAAATGTATACAAACATTGATTTTGTCATTTGGTCTATAAATGTGCAATATAAATTATAGACGATGTACATAGAAAATTGCGCCATAAAAAACAAAAACCGCTTTTAATATCATGCTCAAGAACTAAAGCCATACAAAGGTAATTAAAATATTAGTCATCAAACTAACAAAATTTTATAACAGCAAAGCAAAAAAACATTAATGTATGTATGTAGGTAAGTATGTATTTTTGAAAAATATTCATTCTGAAGAAACAACAAAATAAAAATACCACTAACAAACGTGCAACTTGTCGTACAAAGTGACAAATAATGTATATGTAAACATTAAGAAATAAAACGTGCAAAATTTTTAAATTTAGGCAGAATGAAAGTCAATGACAAACATGCCCAAGTTCAAATTGAAAATATTTTCCTCACAAAATGTAATTTTGTTTTCTCTTTCTAATTCTGTATGTTAGTCGTTATTTTAGTTATTTCTGATTTCAACATTGTGATTTCGTTCTACATGCATTTTTCAATGACAGATTTACGTTATTTCCGGTTTTTCATAGTGTACCGCTTATTGACGTTAGATTCCATTCCTTCATCTACTCAGCTAAACACTTTTCACCCTTCACTTGTTTCCCTTATGATTGATTAGCAATCTGCATAGCAATAATGCCAGTTTCTCCTTGCTGCTACTACTATTATTACCCCCAATCCTAGCGGTCTGTATTCGTCTCAAGGCTAATTTCCCCACAAAAACCTTTCATTCAAATGATTACGCTTTGTTAGATGTCTACCATTTCTTCATTTTGCTTAATGCACTTTAAAATTACAAAGTCTTCTAGACCTTAACTTTCTAGGCATCGAGTAGAGATGCCTGTGCATGTTGATCCAGTAGAGAGTCCTCGCCGTTCCCCAACACCTCATGATGCATACCATTTTCAAACACTTTCTGTGGCCCATCACCTTCACCATTCAAATGCGGTTGGTGCTCCACTTGTTTCCCCAGTTCCTCTACTCCTGATTTACTAGGCGTACCGTTCAACTTGGGTTGCTCTTCGGTAGCTTTCGCTTTTAACTCATTTGCCGATTTAATTGGAGTTACTGGTTTCTTAGCCACATCTTTGGTTTTCGATTTCAGAGTTGCACTTGATGGCTTAGTCGGCGAAAGTGAGGATTTGGTGGCTGATATAGGCCTACCGGTGCCCGGTGGTGTCTTTTTCTGCAACATACTGCTTGTAGTTCTTGCCCCGGTTGTGCTACTACTCGAAACGACGCCCACAGTCCGACGTGTTGTAGTCGATGAAATAGTGGATGAATGCGTAGTCTTAGGTGCAGGCCGCGCAGTGAAAGTCTTTGTAGTTGTAGTTGTTATTGTGGTAGAAGTCGAGCTCTTGGCGCGACTAGCAGTAGTTGTGTTTGTTGCGCTCTTTGTGACGCCATTGGTAGTTGGTGCCGTAGTCTTTAGTGGACTCCTAGCCGTGGTTAAGCCTGTGCCTGTACTTGCAGGTGCCGCCTTTCGAAGTTGTGATGTTAAAGTTGTACGGGGAGAAATCAACTTCGGCTTGGCTGTAGCCGAAAGACCCAAAGTAGTTGGCTTAGTTGGGGCACTGCCAGCAGCTTTTGGTTTAGCGACGGCGGTTGTGCCATTAGAAGTACTAGTGGGCGCCGAACGGCGTGTAATTGTAGTAGCATTAGTGCGCGATACAGATGACTTAGCTGCAGTCGGTGCTGTAGTCGGACGTGTTGAAGCGGTTGTCTTAGTAACGGTTCTAGATGTTGCTGAAATGGAGGATAAGGGTTTTCGAGTAGTAGTGCTTGTCGGTGGTTTAGCAGCAGCTGTGGTGGCTGTCACTTTCTTATCAGGGGCAGTTGCCGTCTTAGACGGGGCTGTACGTGGCCTTTCTGAAGATACGGTAGAAGCAGACGTTTTAGTGGGAGCACCAGTAGTCTTTTTTGTTGGATCTGCACCCTTTTTAATATCAACTGTCTTTGATTTTGTCGAAGTGGGAGTACGGGATTTTTTAACTTCAATTTTCTTTGGAGCAGTTGCAGCAACAGTTACTACGGCAGCCGTAGTCGCAATAGCACCAATAGTTGCGGCAGCAACCACAGTTTCGGAAGCATCTTTCTTGGTTTCGTCAATAGCGGTCTCCAAAAAAGCTTCTGGAGTGGTGGGGACAACGTCTTTAGTTATCACCAGCAATGCTTCATCGATTGTGGACACATTTGAAATGCCATTGCTCACATGCAAGGCATTGTCAGGCTTGGGCTCAGGCTCAAGTGCAATTAAGGATTCTGGTTGTGATATATGTTCTGGCTCAGTTACAGGCTCAGCCTCCACTTCAGCAGCCGCCGATTCAAGGTGACCTACAGATGTCGGTTCAAGTGGGGTCTCAATTGAGAGAGAAACCGGCTCTGGTTCTGGGGGAGAAGCAATAGAAATAGATTCTGCAACAGGCGATTCAAATCCCTTAACTTCAAGCTCTTGCTTAGCAGGGTATTCTGATGATTCATCCTCTTGCTGGGTCGAAAACAAGTTACCTTCAAAGCCTGCATATACGGACTCTGATGCTATCTCTTTTGCCTGGTGATCATTTTGTTGTTCGTTGTGATAAAATTGTTCGTTTTGTTGCAAAAAGTCAGCGTGTAGGTGAGATTCATTTGAAAACGATTGATCCGCATCAATTGGTAATTCTTCAACCGTTTTATGTTGTTCGGATTCTGGAGCAGCGAATGGATTTAGACTTTCAACGATGTTAGCCGCAATCGGGGCAGTTTCCACCTGTAACAGACATGAAAATAAATGAACATACATAAATAAAAAATTTCGATTCAAGCATTCTGAATATACATATGTATATAGTATATAAATTATTGTTGAAGTAACTTTACAAGAAGAAAATATAAAAACCTAAACGTAAAAAAATATAATATGTAGCTTGGCTGCATTCGAACTTAACAAACCGCGCCACCGCATGACCGTGACGTAGACGGTGCTTCTCTCTTTCTATCAACAGCAAACTTAATATGTTTCTACGCTACGTAAATGACTGAGTTTTAAAAAATCTATAAAAATAGGCAATAATATTTCTCATAAAAAGGAATGAAATTAGGCGGTAGGGTCTTGAATTAAAAAAAAAAATAGAAAAAATCGATGGGAACCCTAATATATACTACATACCCAAAAGACATTGACATTCAAAATAAAATAATTTTAATAGTCTCGAGTATGAAAGAATGGACACAGAAGTAGTGGCATGCAGTTCGTGCCATTAATGATTAACAATAATTAAGGAAATTATTTCATAATTGTACACACCATTTACAATATACGGGAGATGCTCTGAATTTAAAAAGGAATAGAGTTACAACTGCGTAGAATTTAGCTGAGTAAGGTACATACAAAAGTACATATTTTATTTACAAAAGTATCAGCAAATACGGTGATAGCTATTCACGTAGTGTAGGAAAAGAAAAGTTGATAATTTAGTATGAAGAATGTTACCCGACAAACCCGAAAAAATATGTGCAATAAAGCTGGAAATGAATTGTTGATAATAACAAAACAGTGATGGATGTAGAAATGGTATATGAATGTGCATGCATTTACATATGTATGTATATTAGGGTGGTCCTTAAATGTAGGGAGCAAATTTTTGCATCAGATTTCCTAAGTCTCAACCCCTACGTCGATGCTATTATAGTGGAAAATATTACATATAAATTTTGGTACCGATTGGAGACGGTTTAGGCGTGACGCACAGGGGTCAAAGTTCAGATTCCTCTATTGAGACGCAAAAAATCAAAAATGATTTTTTTTTTTTCATCTAATACCCAAAATCAGGGTTTTAAAATGCTGTAATATTTTTGTTTAATTTGCTTTGGCTGTGCTTTGACTTCGGCATGTATGATATCGAAAGCAAAGCAAAAGCAATTCAGAAAAAAACAAATGCTTTGGCTGCCGTTTTGCTATGAAATTTCGAAAGCAATTTGTGGAAGCACAAAGACAGCGCAGCAGCAGCAAATCAACATCAATTTGACTATAAATTTGCGGCGAAACATCGAATTGGCAGAAACAGAGGATATTATATGTATGCGTGCGCAAATCCACTAGTCGCTTACCCTGATAAGCTTTGCATTGATCGCGGAGTTAATATGTATATACCATGCTGCAAAAGCGTCATGTGCACAGCACAGCCAAGCAGATAACAGCACAGCAAAAGCACTATCACAGCAAATCAAAAGCAATTAAATTGTTTAAATCACAGTATACAGTAAACCAGCCATTGACAATGCTTATTTGAAAATTAATACATGAAATATTGTGAATGTATAGGATTTATTTGTCATTAACCCATAGGCAACGACTGATGCAAAAGTACCCACAAATGTTTGTTGATGCATTTGACATGTAAATTTGAACAGCAAAATTCGTAAAAAAATAATAAAAACAAAACTATTTTTAATTACTTCGTGGGCGTGGTTATTGGCAGATTTCGCCAAAGTTTAACACTATCCTAACTTATACCAAAGGCAACTTCGACACCGACTTTCGTTAAAATATCTAAATTTTGTTCGAGTTAGCGTGTTTACAAACAGAGAGGGCTGAACTAGTTCATCTCGTAATTTTGAATATTTTGATATATATGTATGCATATGTGTATATATGTACATACATTTTATACGGTTAACAAACGCGCTTGCTTATTTGCATAAACCGTCCTTACTTGGATTAATTCATGCATTATCCCCTTTCAAATGTGAATAAGCGGCTGAACAAATACATACAAATTTCGCGCATTTGAAAATTAGAGAGTTCTACCTTAAGCTAAGTAATAATTGTTTTACCGCCTAATCGATGGGACCATTTTAAAAAGTCAGCCCGCCATTACTCACTCACGTGTTCGGAACACGGTTTGACTTATGTAGGAACTGCGCCCGGTTATAATCGCTTACGCTTCACGCTTGATTTGCTTGGAATTTTGTTTTTCTCTTTATTTTGTTTTATGTGACTTGAAAATATTTTTCACTATAAGAAAATATTTAAATTGGATTTCATTTGGGTTAACGAAAACGACAACTGTGAAAAAATATCAACCAATACATTCAAACAATATGTCAAATAAGCATATTTACATTTTTTGTTTTGGCTATCTGGATTACTGTATACTGTGGTTTAAATAAACTGCCGATAAAAAAAACAGAATAAACTTTTCAAAGTCACAGCAAAAGCAAAGCAGTTCGAATCAAAATCGAAAATTTCAAAGCTAAGCAAAAGCAAAAATAGTATGATGTTGCTGCTTTGCTGACAGTTTTTCAAACCCTGCCCAAAATCGATACTACTATAGTCGAAGAAAACACATATACATTTTGGCCTCGATTGGAGTCGGTTAAGGCGTGTCGCACAGGGGTCAAAGTTCAGATTACCCTATAAGGACTTCTCAACCGACTCAAATCGGGACGGGACCAACATTTATATGTGATATTCTCGATTTTAGTAGCATCGACTTTCAGTATTAAAAGAAAAAATTTTTTTTAATTTTTTAGTCTCCATAGAGGCATCTGGCCTTTTACCCTTTTGCGACAAACCATAACCGACTCCAATCGGGACCAAAATTTATATGTTATATCTTGGACTATGATAATATCGATTTTGGGTATTAGATGAAAAAAAACAAGTAATTTTTAATCAAAAACTAAAACCGACCTCATTTCTCATATAAAATTTTAAGAGTATCGTTAACTTCTTCATGACCCAAAGATCGAATCTAAACCAGATTATTATTTGACCAGCTCGGAGGTACATACCACTTTTCCTTTAAAAAATTATTATTATAGAAATCGGTTAACGTGGTTCAAAGTTATGCGGCAACATACATTTAAAAAAAAATATATATATATAAATTCCGACGAAACTATAACATCCTCCTTTTTTGAAGTCGGTTAAAAATTTATTTTAATTTTTTGAATCTCTATAGAGGAGCCAGAACTTTGTCCCCTGTGCGACACGCCTTAACCGACTGCAATTGGGACCAAAATTTATGTGATATCTATGACCGTGGTACTTCCGATTTAAGGGATGAGACTAAAAAATCGTTCATTTGATTTTTTAGGAACCACCCTAATATATACACACATATGCATCCACATACAGCTGAATGGACTTCAAAATAAAACCAAAGTCAAAGAAAAACGTATGTGACTCAGACAGAAGTTCCAAATGCGTTTCGGATGTAATCCTTTCGGGAAGATTAGCGTGATAAAGAATCGAAATAATTCCTATGTAAGCAGTTCTTACTTGGGTCTTTGATGAAAAAAATTTACGGGAAATTACCTACATATCGACGGCTGAGTGGATGTTCAACTTATATCGGCATTCAGTTCGAAAACGCCCTATTCAGGAAACTTCAAGAACGCCCTATTTCAGAATTTGGTTAAGAACGCTGTTTCCGAAATCGTTTCAAAAACGACCTTTTCTCAGCTGCCCTATAACAGCACATTTTCAATACATTTTGAAGCGAGGTAGGGCGTTTTTAATCAAATTCTGAAATGGGGCGTTCTTCAACCAAGCTCTGGAGTAAGGCGTTTTTGAAAAGTTTTCTGAGATAGGGCGTTTTCGCACGGGTTTCCGAGATATGCATGTAGGTCGACCTTCCACTCAGCCGTCGATATATACATACAGTCCATCACTAAAGTCTAGGTGCAGTACTGAGAGTTTTTTTCAATACGGGTTACTGTTTCATAAATATTTTATTTTTCGCAAATTTTTTATTAAAATATAGTTAATTGTAAAAAAAACCTAATAATGAGAGTTCCAAATCTTAAGCAAAATTAAAAAAATATCGACGATTTTTTTCTACGGAAAAAATAAGCGACACCTTCAATATGAAAATTTCCCAAAAATCAATGGTAAGTCCTAGATATCTCAAACTTTCCCTTTATTGTACTGAAATTGAATAGACTAAATTTTTTTGTGAAGAGTGTAATTAAAAAGTGCAATATTTTTATGAAAACTTGCAGAGGTTTGGAACTCTTATTTTCGAGGTTTTTGTTGTAATTTGTAAAACAATTTCGCAAAATAAAATATTTAAACACCGGTTGCCCGTATTGCAAAAAACTCTGTGCCTAAACTTTATCAATTGACTGTATGTACATACCGCACGCTTTTTTTCAGTTCAGCAGCTCTCAAGAAAAACGAGAAATTCATACAAAATAACGCAAAAGAAATGGAAAAGAAATTTTCTTGTATCAAAATTTCTTAAAACAGTATGCAGCTCTCAAGAAAAAAAATACTCGTATTTTTATTTCTTCAAGAAAATCTGTCTTTCTATGCTACCACCAGTGTTGCCGCGAATCACTTTTAGTGGTAGCCAAATTCCTTTAGAAAAAAGGGCGCTAAAAAAGAGCTAAACAAAAAGTAGTTGTGGCTAAAAATGGTAGCTAAAATTTTGTACTTACATATACATATATAAATATACACGCAAACATTTTCAATAAGTAATGGTATAGAAAAACAATGAACTCGGGAGAAAAGCTAATATTTTATCCAACCATAAACCTTTTTGTATAAAAGGGAAATATACGACACCAGCTTGCTGGCTCCATCAAGTGATTGTACCATCAGGCTCGAAGCATATACAAATTAGTTTTTTTTTTGTTTAATTCACAACTGCAATATCGGGAACTTAATCCTCCACAAACACGGCTTTGACTCATATAGTACAAGAAATTTCCGCCAAAATACTTTTTACTTAGAAAATTTAGCTAATTTCACCACTCACG